ATCTGGCAGATCTGGCAGGGGAGAAGAGCCAGGATGAAAACTGATCCAGATACAACCAAGCGATGATCTTCATCAATTGCTGGGATGCCATCCCTACTTGAGAAGAGCAATACTGGTTCAATAATTTAAATCCAAGATAGAAGATGATCAGGAAAAATAACTTCCTCAGTTGTTCACATATGGGTGCACCTTTTATAAAGGTCATACTTTTGACCTCTGTAAATCTGAGTGTGAAAGTAATGAAAAAATTAAAACTGTGGGAAAGTATCTGTTGCTTAATAAAGTATTATTTCTTCCCGAATAATGATTCACAAAAGAACTGATGAAAAATCTTTGAGCAAACTAGGGTGGCTTCTACTTCAACCAGACCAGCTCAGATATCACTTTCCCAAAGAACACATATGACTGCAGTAGGCTGTGGAGAACCAAAATCCAGACATGGGTCTGTACAATGAGGTCTTTGCACAAAGTTCTAATGCTGCCTTTGTCCTCAAGCCGACCCATCGATTCTGGTCTGACAAAATACCCAAATGTCCTGGTAGACTTGTGATTCGTATAGGGTATATTGGGTTGCTGACTCCAGATATGGCTCCTGACCCTCTGACTATATACCTGATTGTAAAAGCAGTCTCTGTTGTCCACTACATCCTGAAAGCCTCACAACTGGGCACAAAATTTTACTTAAAGATCTGTTACATGCTGCTGTGCTTTGGCCCTCTTTAAGGCCCCCTTCAGACATGTCTGTGTCTTCCTCTCCTGCTTTGTACCTTCTAGCCTACTGCAGATTTTCTGATCTCGCAGACTTTCTCAGCTTATATATTCTCTATTGATTTTTGTGTAAAATAACTTGATTTTGATGACACACCTGGGAATGTTGTGCTGTTTCACACTGGACATTGCTTTGCGTTTCATTTTTCTTAGAATGTCTGGTAATGTTTTCTGGTCTCTGTTGGATTTTATATGAAGACCAGAACCAATATAATTGATTTGTTGAGAGCAGAGAAGAAGCAGGTATGATTCTCCCCTCTGTGCACTGATTACATTGCAATCACCATTTCCCATTTCAGAACATACCGCCTTCTCTAGAGTTAAATTCTTCTCTGAAAGAAAAGGCTTCTTGCTTTTAGGGGCAGAATATTTCCCAGGTACTGCAACACAGAATGGAACACAAGATAAATATTCCTGATACTATACTGTTTGGTGTCCTTTAATTTTAGTAATGGTCAGTTTCCAGGGTTTTATGTATTTTATGCAATTTATGTATGATCTTTACATGAAAGTGACAGATGAACTGGTCAGCAACGACATCTCATGATGTAAGAGTGTGTTCAACATCAGCGTCAAGGCAAATTTAAATGCATGAAGCAAAGAGTTTCACCCCCTTCCAAGCCTCTCCAATAAACCCATATCCATTTTTTTCAATATGGTTATTATTTCACATCATAACTATAAGGACACTACTACTTCATATACTCTTAACAGGAAAAAATCTTAAGGACTCAATCTGACAAATTCATCTCTAAGTCAAACATATTCTAGAGGTCACATCCTTGCCCTCTAACCATGTGTTTGTAAGGGACAGCAGAATCAGGCCCAGCCCAAATTTAATCTGCAAAATGAGCCCACTGCATGCATTCGCATGAAGAGTCAGAGAAGAGAGACTACTGGCTTTCAAGAAAAAAAGTGCCATTGGACCTCCACTGTACAGAATATGCACAGAAAACATTTTTACTGTGTCTCCCTCCAAACTGATTTTTTCTTGTTCTTGTTGATTCTGGATGATCAATGATGTGTCTTTCCCATGATGCTGTGATGAATCCTTATCTTTCTTAAACTTGCTTGATCCTGCCTAGGTTCAAATGCGTCTCTTCTGGGAGGTAAGGCTATGACTCTTCTTTCTCTGCCCAGTTCCAGTAATGTAAATCTGTGGTGGCTTCTTTGCAGAACACAACAGATGACTACATTTTGGGGTAATGCTGCAAGTCTTCCTCCAGTCAGATGAAGCCCTACTTCTGCTTATGAACATACAAAAAGTCTAGTAAGTTCAATCCATTCCTTAAAAAAAAAAAAAAAAAAAAAAAAAAATTAAAAAAAAAAAAAAAAAAAGGAAGAAAAGACAAGCTATCATTTCAGGTTAACCAAAAAAATGAAAAAATAACAAATCCAGGAGCAGGGAGAAGAAGCAGGAGTGGTTTCTGTACTCTACATCAACCCGTAGCAAGGCCAAAGAGCTATGCTGAGCAACTTGTCTCTCCATACTCTGTACCTTACCTTCCCTCACCTCATGGGAATGAGCACCAGCCTGATCAAATAGCAGGGGAGTTGACAAGAAGAGCTGGCACAACATCCTGCTGCCAGTCCATGAAGATGACTATGTGTGCAGTGATTAGAGAACAGAAAAGCAAAAGAAAACAGTAGCAAATGCCTGGTTCAGCCTGCTGATCAGGACGATCCAGGGGGAAACCAGTCCTAGGGGAGTTTTGCAAAACCTTCTAACAGCGTAGACAAGTGCAAAGGCTTACTCTCCAACAGAAATTATTGGATCTTCTAATTCTTGGCATGCTCTTTAACATGAAAAGCTGCCACATGCAGCAGTGTGATTGATCATCCTAATCCCAGGGAATTTTACAGGTGAGATGAAAATCAAGTTTCCTGGAGCTGCTGCACTTAGGACCAGCCATGAGGGGCTTTTACAAAGAAATAGAGAGGAGAGTGAGATGCAGTGGCTTTTTTAAGCCCTTGTATTTCACGGTTTCATGAGCAATGCATTTATGTATGTATCCATGTCATTTACACACATATCCAGATGCTTTTCAAATATGTTTTCCTGTTGAGAAAGATTGTGCTTGATTACTGTCTTTCTTTTGGAAAGTTCAGGAGCCAGGTCTTGGCCACATCTTTCTTTTCTATTCAGTTTATAGAGAATTCTGGGGCAACCTATCATTACCTATGTGCCATGCCTATACACAAGGGATCTCCCAGCACAGGTAGGGCCTTTAGCTATTTTTCTAATGCAAGAAAATAAACTGCAGCACTGTATATGAACTTTTAATAGTGAATCCCTTCAATATGGAAACACACCGTGTCTTCCACCCACTTCTCACCCAGCTGCACTATCTCTTTTCATTGTGCCAAACCTTAACAGCACGTTTTTAAATCTCAGTTCCAGCGACTAATCAGTTCTAGCACTGTTTGGGTTTGGGGCTTTGGGTTTTTTGTTTGTTTGTTTGTTTTGTTTTGTTGTGGTTTTGTTTGTTTTGGTTTGGTTTGGTTTGGTTTTTTCCTTCTCAAACTGTTTGCAAGCTCTTACAGAGCTTTTTTTTTTGTTTAGTTTTGTTGCCATTTGTTTCATTTTTTAAAGCATCTTCTCGGGAGTGATTTGTAATTGCAAATACAATTGTTTTAAGCTCTAAAAGAAATGTCAGTAACATTCAGTGTGATCATCATTGAGTGCTCAGCTGGGAATCCTGATACATCGTGAACTTTGTTTTCTTCAGCGAAAGCCACCTTGCCACTGGCCGTGTTACACTGAGCAGCAACAGCTTGATTAATATTTTTGGCCAATGACCTCAAACCCATCAGTTATATCCTGATGGGGAAGGAATATTTTGGGATGGATATTTACTTTCTCCAGCTACCCGAGTGTTTCAGGCGTTCACCAGTGACAATAACTCCTAACGATCGCAGCTTTGGAGCTGGTCGGCAGCAAATTGTGAAATGGGACTATGCACCGGAACTGCAGCGTACAGAAGATCTCGTTCTGTTGGTTTTATTATAAAATAACTCGATCAGGTTTGGGCGTCCCTATTTTCCTTTAGCTGCCTCTGTAACTCCAGAAACAATTTGGATGGCAAATTGATGAAACAGAGAGAATAAGAAGACTGAAAATAGTTTGATAAATGATGTGAAAAGTAGATTAATTGCCAAATAACCGACTTCTAATGTAACTATATTTCTCCAGGGAGATATCTGAGGCTGCAGTTATGTGGAAGGGCAGTTTCTTTAAAATAATTTTAGTTCCATGTTAAAGAACTAGAAAAAGGGACCTTAGTGTATAGCTGCTGCATCTGATCAAACTTCCATTGGCAGGGATTTTGAAAAACCCGGATTTGTCTCTATCTGTATTGATTAATCTCGTGGCAGTCATCAAGTAAGAATGTATCAACGCTGGAAATATTAGAAGTAACAACCAAAGGGAGGTTCCGGTATACAACATCAGTTATGAAAAAATAGGCAAACAGGAACCGTATCACATCACCCTTGGAAATAAGGACATCATCGCTTTTGCATGTCTCCAAATGGTTTTAGCCACGGAGTAACTCGCCGGCTCAGAATATCTTAATTTCTTTATCATTATAAAGTCAGATCAGAAAAGAGGGGTCGGTCGTGTGACCCAAACCGTTAATTCATATCCTGCACCTTCCCGGGAGCTGCAGTTTGGGGAAACCTGAGCTGAGAGCTGCAGCCGGCAGGTCCCCTTCAACGCGCCCGCTTCATCAAACCACCCCTGCAACAGCCTCCATAATTTCCTTTTTTTTTTTTTTTTTTTTTTTTTTTCAGAGCAAGGGCACCTTGTGAGACTCCTCCTGCTACTTGACACTACTTGGAGGCCGATTAAACAGCGAGAGGCGAGGTCAGACAACGCTCCCACTTCATCGCCACGGGGAAAAACACTGCAGAGAGTCGCCGAAGCCGCTGCCCAGCGCTGGGCTGGCGCCGGGGCCGGTCCCGGCTGCCCGGCTGCAGTGCACCGGCCGCCGGGCCCCGCCGCACCCCCGCCCGCCCGCCGGAACGGGCACAGCAGGAGCTCGCTCGGCAGCTGGGTGAACTGCCCACGGAAGGACAAAGGGAAGAAGAGTTGGGAAAGGAAAGAAAAAAACCTTCTTACCTAGCCGAGACACCTATCCCTTTTGGGGTTTGGGGGGGTTTTTTAATCCCCACTGGGAAATTCGACAAGTTGCCCGTTTTCGCACGCACGGGTGAATTTCGTAATGCCACGGTTGTGTTTTTTAAGCTTTATTTCTATAATAGAAACCATAAAGGCAGTATCTTTCGTTTGATACTGCCTAGTAGTAACTGTATAAAAAAGGCATGCATATCAGCTTTCTGAAAAGGTTTATTTCCAACCTTTGAATATAAAGCGTGTGAACTTGGAAACCAGAGGACGACAAAAGCGTTTGGAAATCTATGAGGAAAAAAAAAAAAAAAAAAAAAAAAAAACACACAAACCTTCTTTACGATAGCAGATAAAATTGTCCCATGAGATTTCGGGGGGCGGGGTTAGCACAAAAAGTATGAGAGATAGCTTGTCTTGTTCTGCAAAAACATCAGACGAGCCACATTTTGAGAACCAGTTAGCATGAAATGTGTGAGAGCGCGCTTGGATTATTTAAGGAGGGGGGAAAAAAAATAAAAGAAGCCACAGTTTAAGAGCCAGATCTGAGGAAAGGTGTCTACATTTTGATAATGTCAAAGTTGGGGAGAAGTTAATCTGAGGGATACTAGAGGTGGAGAGTTTGAGATAGAGGTTGGCTTTTAGCAAGCTCGATTAAAAGTGACTTGGTTCACGGTATAGCGATGGTCACGGCGCTGGGGCACACGCGGGGACCCAGTCCCCGTGGGCTGAGGCAGAGCATCGGCTCCCCTGGAATATGGACATGGGGCAATTTGGGAGGGAAGGAGGGAGGGAGGCAGAACAGATCCCGGTTTCTTTCGCGGCTCCGTGTTACCTCCTCCGTCCCGACCAGAGAAAAAGCGCTGCAAGAGCGAGGGCGGGCTGGCAGCGCCCTTTGAAGCTTTAACAACCTGTCGGCGGCCCACGGACACGCGTGGGGGGGAGCCCGAGTGGCCCCTCCGGGAGCCGGGGGGCGGCTGCCGCCGTCTGTGGCGAAGGCGGACACCCCACCGACAAGGCAGGGGCATAAATACCATCGGGGCGACCCCCGGCGAGAGGAAGGTCGGGGACCGGGGGGGGGAGCGGCTATACGTCCCCTTCCACCAGGCTGAAGTGTTTGCCCGGCCCGGGGAGGCAGAGGTAGGGGACGGCTCTGCCCGGGTAGAGCAGCGGGAAGGGCAGCGGCAGCAAGCAGCGGCTGAGCAGGGTGCTGTCCTTATAAAGGGCCGGGAAGGAAAGGCCCGCGGCGGCGGCAGGGGGTGGCAGCTCCCCGGGGGGGTCCGCCGGCCCCGGGCCCTCGGGCTCAGCCGACATCTGTCTCTTGAGCTTGTTGCGGCGGTTCTGGAACCAGATCTTCACCTGGGTCTCGGTGAGGTGCAGCGAGGCGGCCAGCCCGGCCCGCTCGGCGCTGCTCAGGTAGCGCTTCACGTCGAAGGTGGACTCCAGCTGGAAGACCTGGCTCTTGGAGAAGATGGTCCGCGTCTTCTTCCTGCCGCCCGCCGCCGGCGACCGGCCGCTCTCCCCGCCGCAGCCCCCGGCCTCCCACGGCGGCGGCAGCACGGGGCCGCGCAGCCCCTCCACGGGGAGCGGGGAGCCCACGCCGCCGCCGCCCTCGGCCTCCGGGCAGAGGCCACGGCTCGTCCCCTCCACCCGGAGCCGGCGGGGCTCGCTGCCTGCAACGGCAAAGCACAGCATCAGCCCCCCCGCCGCCGCCGCCGCCCGCGCCCCCGCCCCGCATGCACGCACGGCCCGGCTGAGCGCTAAGGAGCGGGGCCGAGGTCGGGGGGTGGGGGACAGAATGGGGAGGGGGTGCCGAGAGCTGGCCACGGCCCCCCACACCCTCCGGAGGGGAGAAGAAGGGTGAGGAGCTTCCAGTAAGGATCTAAGGAAATCTCTCTGCCAGCTGTATGACAGAGACGCCAGGGGCTCACGGGACAAACAACCAAGGAGGCCGGGAGGGGCGTAAAACACCCTGGAAAAGCCCCTGGAAGCAGGTCGGTGGGTGTGTGGGTGTGTGTGTGTGCGTGTGCCGGCGGCATCTCCTCCTGTCCGTCCGCGGAGCCTCGGTTCCTCCTCAGGCTGCGTGTGCGTGTGTGCAAGTGTGTATGTCTGCGTGTCCGTGGGCGTGGGCGCGGGCCGGCCCGGCGACGCGGAAGAGGCCCGCGGCTGACCCGGGTGGGGGCCGGGCTGCGACCCGACGTGCGAGACAGCCTGAGGCGGGCTGCCGGCTCTGTACCCGAGTTGCTGGAGGCTTTACTGGGGTCTTGCTCCGCAGGCCCCTCTTCTTCCTCCTCCTCCTCCGGCGGCGCGCAGCGGGCTCGGCCCTGCTCTCGGCCCGGGCGGTGGGGGCCGGGCTGTAGGATGCTGTCGATGCTGAAGGCCGGCAGCGCTGCCGGGGCTGGCGGTGGGGCTCGGCGGCCGCCCCCGAGCTGCACCATGGCGCGCCGAGCCGAGCTGAGCCGAGCAAAGCCGAGCCGAGCCGTGCTGCGCCGCAGGACTGGCTGCGGCGGGAGGGAGGCAGCGGGAGCCGGGGCGGAGGAAAGGATGGGTCGGGGGGGGGGGGGGGGAGGGAGGAGGGGTCGGGGCGGCGGAGGGAGGGGATGGAGCTAGAGGGAGCCAAAGGACTGAGGACGGGGGGGAGCGATGCAGGGGAGGGAGATAGAGAAGGGAGGCGGCAGGGAAGAGAGGGAGCGGAGAAGGAAAAGGAGCAGGAGCTGGAGGGAAGTGGGGAGGGAGGGATGGGGGGGCACGCCGAGGTGCCCCCATCCTCGCCGGCGGTGAGGTGCGTCCCGAAAGGGTGTCCTGGGCAGCCGGGGCAGGGCAGGGCTGGCTGCTGTCCTGCCCGGGCCCTTCACTGCAGGGGGGGGTGGGGGGGGTGGGGGGGTTGGGGGGGGGAGGGAGGAGGCAGAACCAGGCCCAAGAGAGCCCACGAGAACGGTGAAGGGGAGGTGGGGTGGCAGGACGGATATCTCTGGCGTGAAGAAGGATGGAGGGAGAGGATCGGAAATGAGAGCCGGGGAATGGGGTGGAGTGCGACAAGGAAAAGCTGTGATGGCAGTGAGAGGAGGCAGGGGGGAAAGGGGAAGCTGGACCCAGCTAAACCCTTCTGTGCGTTTGTAGAACAGTCTGCTGAGGGTACTTGCTGCAGATAACCCATGCTGTTGTAAAGGGATGGGGGGGCCTGGGGAAGAATAATTCACACAGTTCTTTCCCTGTGGTCATTCCACCTGCAGACCCTCAGGCTGAGTATGCAGAATTTCCCTGGGGAGAAAGGGATCCCCTTTCCTTCCAAGGAACCTCGCGGTGTCAAGCCACCCCAAAATCCACGCACCCCCACCCCGCAGGTCTGCACACCTCTTCTGTAGTTTTCAAGAGCTAAAAGTGGTATGAGCTGGACGGTGTGCGTGTGTGAGTGCGTCCAATATGTGCTTTTTGGAGGATGGAGAAACGCTCGCCTGCGCTGAAGGAGATGTTGGGAGACTTGGGGGAGGGTCGGTGTGTTTCTGTATTATCTGGAGAACTTTTGGTCCTCACCACCTACCAGCACGGCGACGTTTTAAAAACCATTTTGCACTACCGAAGACAGGTTGTCCAGTGATTTTAGAGCTGCCATCGGTTGTGGATGACAGGGAACTCTCTCCCTCCCTGAGCCCCTATGTAAAGTCTGGAAAATGTTTCCAACAGGCTTTTAAGAGGCCTTTTAGTCTGAATCTCGAGGTTTCCACCATGAAAATTGCTGAGGGCAAGCAAGAAGCCCTTGAAAAAGAGTTGACAATAGAAGTGCTGACAGGCTCTTAAATATTGTGATGCCAGAGATTCCATGAGCTAAAATCAGGGCATCTTAAGACTTTGGTCTATGTTAATCTTTAACACACTGGTTCTTGGAAGAACGGGTTTCAGCTCTTTTTCATGAAAATTTGTTTCAATTTATAGATTAACTCAGATTTTAATGCAGCCGTCTGCTAGAGAGTTGTATATTTTCCACCAGGCAGGAAAACAAAACAAAACAAAACAAAAACATATATATCCATCTTCCATCAACACGATTATTGGCCAAATGCATAATTCGTTGCATTTGTCCTGGAATCTTCTGTACAAGCTGGTGGTTCTGGTGGAGCAAAATGTTCCATTAAGAGAAAGTGATAGGGCAAGAGAAGGGACAATGAACATTGGTACAAAATGCGAAGAAGCAGATGAAAAGATAAATTAAGAAATTCCATGTGAGCTGGTAAAACTTGGAGAACAGGTGACTTGGATGACAGGTCGGGTCGGTCCTTGCCCCTGCACTCCTGTCTCGGCCTCCCTTCCCGCTGCCTGTGAGTGAGGCATGTCCCAGGTCTTGCTGCAAACCATTTCCCTTTTAGTCTCGCAAAAATCCATTTTAAAAAGTTATTGCACTGACTCAGTGTGTTTTCCTATAAGACATTTTCTTGGAAGAAAAATGAAGACTTGAAGAAGGCAGAAAATATGAAGGAAATTGAAGAAGGAGACATAAGTTTTATCTCCTAATTTTTTTCCCTGCGGCCCCCTCTGCCCCCCCTGAGCAGTCCAAGCCCAGTCCTGGGAGACCCGACCCGGTCTGTCTTCCTTTCCCAGCACCATTTGGCCACTTTACAAAAACGATTGTTTTTTTCCCTGCCAAACTGCAAGGAGGGAGCACACTCCAGTGCCGGATCTCTCCAGCCGCCGGGCAAGCTGGAGGCAATTCACTGGCAACAAGAGCATGGAGGGGGGGGGGGGCCCGGGGTCCCCCCTGCAGCGAGCCCTGCATGCCAGATCCGTACCGGGCTCCTCACGCCCTCTGCTAGGGTCGCCCTTATCTTCAGGGGGGCAGTCAAGACTTGGTTTCGCATGCCAACAGGTAGAGCCGCATGCTACAAAACCCGAACAACCGCCTGCAAAGTGCCCCCCCCCGGAGGGAGAGCTCTGCCCCGGGGAAGGGCGGCGGAGCCCCCCCGGCCCCCCTCTAGGCTCCCAGCAAACCTCCCTCCCACCCGGGGGTGCAGCTCAAGGGCACAAGAGACCTCGCCGAAAAGTCAGAGGCTTTTCCTAGTGTTTGGTTCCCGGGGTTGGGGAGCGCAGCTCCGGGCAGAGGGTCTGCGGGGAGCGGCTGCGGTAGGGGCGGCTTTGGCCGGAGTCAGCGCTTTCTGCAAGGGTCAACTGCCCCGGGCTGAGCCGGTAAAGGGGGCCTCGATGCCCAAGGCGGGGGTCCAGAACGGGAATCCCCCTGCAGCAGTGCTCTGCACCACCGCAAACCGCTCCCCAGGCTCCGAAAGGCCGTCGTGCAAGGTGCTTAGCTTAATCATTCCGTTTAAAAACAACGTTTTTCCTTACACTTAGACATTTTTCCGAGACTGGTACTTTTTAATCCCGAGTTTCACTTGTATTTTAGCCGGGAGGAATCCTGTCGTCTTGGACGTGTCGTGGCATGGAAGCCGGTACTGCACAGAGGCAACTCAGGAATGGCGAACTTTTTTCTCTTAATAATATTTTCCTGTATTAGAAGCTAACATCATGCGGAATTGAAACCTTTTACCTGGGAAAGCTTTTTACCAGAAATCACCCGGCACACTTATCTTTATTTCCATTTTAGCTCAGAGCACAAAACGTCTCCTACTCTAAATCTGATGGAAATGGAATCTGATTAGATTCTACAGAAACACCAGAGAGTCCGGGTTTGCTTGGCTTAGTGAATCGGGTTTGTTTTATCTCCCTCGATGTACTCGAGGGTGAAACAGGCGCTCTCTGGATTCCACGTTTCCTTGCAAATAAGAGCCTGGTCATTGCAGACACACAGGCACCTTGCAGCGGTCTTTAAGCCGTTCCCGCCGCTCTCCCGGGACACAGCCCGGGCCAGTGGGTCCAGAACAGAAGCGCCGTCGTAAAAGTTCACAAAAATAACCAGGCTGCTTTGGCTACCTCAGGGCTGCAGGTCCCTAAAATGAACTCGATTTTGTGGTTCACCAGGAGCCGGGTATAAATTGCCGGTTGTCGTTGTGGTCTCCGCGCTCCCCAGCGCAGGCAGCGGTCCGGGGCAGCGGGGACATCCAGCATCTCGGGGAGGGATAGAGGGAGGGAGAGGAGAGAAAACGGTTTCACCATCTGGAAAACAGTTCTCCCTGGAGTCTCGCTGGAAGGCAGCTACAAGTGTCACGCATAAACAGGCTTTTCGGGAGAGTCGGGCGCGCTAAGCCGACTTCTTCAACTCAGAGGTGCGGGACACAGGCGGATCGGGATATGGTGTGGCCCCGGGACACAGCATCCCTTTTCGATACGTTTTGTTTCCCTCTGAGGTCAGTTCAAATTTTTCAGCTAAATCGCCTTCCTGCAACCTCTGCGCTTGATAGGAGAGGCGTTAGTAATTCTCGGCTGTTCAGTAGACTGGAATTGCTGAAGATAAAAGAGAGAGCGAAGGGACAGCGAGAGGAGAGGAGAGGAGAGGAGAGGAGAGGAGAGGAGAGGAGAGGAGAGGAGAGGAGAGGAGAGGAGAGGAGAGGAGAGGAGAGGAGAGGAGAGGAGAGGAGAGGAGAGGAGAGGAGAGGAGAGGAGAGGAGAGGAGAGGAGAGGAGAGGAGAGGAGAGGAGAGGAGAGGAGAGGAGAGGAGAGGAGAGGAGAGGAGAGGAGAGGAGAGGAGAGGAGAGGAGAGGAGAGGAGAGGAGAGGAGAGGAGAGGAGAGGAGAAAAAGGAGAGGAGAAAAAGGAGAGGAGAAAAAGGAGAGGAGAAAAAGGAGAGGAGAAAAAGGAGAGGAGAAAAAGGAGAGGAGAAAAAGGAGAGGAGAAAAAGGAGAGGAGAGAAGAGGAGGGAAGAGGAGGGAAGAGGAGGGAAGAGAAGAGAAAGAAGAGAAGAGAAGAGAAGAGAAGAGAAGAGAAGAGAAGAGAAGAGAAGAGAAGAGAAGAGAAGAGAAGAGAAGAGAAGAGAAGAGAAGAGAAGAGAAGAGAAGAGAAGAGAAGAGAAGAGAAGAGAAGAGAAGAGAAGAGAAGAGAAGAGAAGAGAAGAGAAGAGAAGAGAAGAGAAGAGAAGAGAAGAGAAGAGAAGAGAAGAGAAGAGAAGAGAAGAGAAGAGAAGAGAAGAGAAGAGAAGAGAAGAGAAGAGAAGAGAAGAGAAGAGAAGAGAAGAAAGGAAATGGAGAGCAAAGAAAATGAAAAAAGAAAAGAAAAGAAAAGAAAAGAAAAGAAACGAAAAGAAAAGAAAAGAAAAGAAAAGAAAAGAAAAGAAAAGAAAAGAAAAGAAAAGAAAAGAAAAGAAAAGAAAAGAAAAGAAAAGAAAAGAAAAGAAAAGAAAAGAAAAGAAAAGAAAAGAAAAGAAAAGAAAAGAAAAGAAAAGAAAAGAAAAGAAAAGAAAAGAAAAGAAAAGAAAAGAAAAGAAAAGAAAAGAAAGAAAAGAAAAGAAAAGAAAAGAAAAGAAAAGAAAAGAAAAGAAAAGAAAAGAAAAGAAAAGAAAAGAAAAGAAAAGAAAAGAAAAGAAAAGAAAAGAAAAGAAAAGAAAAGAAAAGAAAAGAAAAGAAAAGAAAAGAAAAGAAAAGAAAAGAAAAGAAAAGAAAAGAAAGAAAAGAAAAGAAAAGAAAAGAAAAGAAAAGAAAAGAAAAGAAAAGAAAAGAAAAGAAAAGAAAAGAAAAGAAAAGAAAAGAAAAGAAAAGAAAGAAAAGAAAAGAAAGCTTTACATTTTAGGTGCACATCTAGATTTTCATGAATATCTCTTTTAATAGACGGTAATGTATCTCACTACATAGAAATTAAAACGTAGGATCCGTAAGAAGAGTTGAGAAACTCAGGGTAGTTAATTGAAGCATGAAGAAATCTGCCATAAAGTTATATTCCTCTGGAATGGGTCGGGAAATTGCCTAGATCTGATTTGAGGCAGAGAGCAGGGACTGGGGCGAGCCGCTGCAGCCGGGAGCGAGTCTCCGGCCGCTCGATGAGGGGGGAGAGCCCCGGCTCCTGCCGGATAATGCTGTATAAAAGAAAAAAAAAAAATCGATCCAAATATATTGCTCAACACTGGAGCCAGGGCGCACCGATGAGATTTATCAAGTATTGATTTGCATGAATATTTTAGAGCCATGCCTACGAGAAAAGTTATAGGCCATCTTCACCCGGTGAGCAATGTACCATTTGCAAAGTAGCCATTTAACAAGGTGCTTTTCAGCATATCGATCATTTTCATTCAAAGTGTAATTAATAATAACATCTTACGGCAGCTACACAAGGAATTTATTTCAGAAGGTCAGTTCAGAGAGTATTCTGATTTTCGTTTGGTTTGCTTAGGGAAAAAAAATGTTTTCACTAATTATTTTTATTAGCGTCCAATAAACACAAGTTATCTTTGTGAACAGTCTGGCAAGGTTTTCCTTTGCCTCGCCTCTGGAGTGCCATCTAGCTAAGCTGTTGTAGCAACATCCATTAAATAAATGTCAACAGACAAGATTTATGCTGCATAATAATATAACAGCTGTAGCATAACTGGATTTATTTTAAAGCTATTCTGAGGTTGCTTTGATCTATAAAGCAGCAACGTATGTCTCTATATGTCGCAAACAGCCTTTGCGAAACTACTTTGAGACAACATTTTTCTCATAGCAGAAGCAGCACAAAGCGTGACTCTTACCTCTTTGATTTGTTTAGTAGAAAATATACACAGGGAAGAAAACTGCCAGGAGTCTGCTGTCCTGATATGCGAGGTGGGCCTGGGATTTTGTTTGTTTGGTTGGTTGGTTGGGTTTTTTCCTGTTTTGAAATCATCAACTCGCATGCATCAAGGACTATATCTTTGCTAGGTGTTTCTCTGCATCCTGCAGAAAATTTTGCCATCAGATAGAATGAAGAGTCATTAAAAAAGCTACGAGGTAAAGAAACCTGAGGTGTCTGTGTTCCTACTTTCAACACATATTTTTAATAAGCCACTATGAAGCAGTTCCTGCATGTACAGAATAAGGCATAAGTAAGCACTTTTCTTAGATGAGTTCACGTCTTGCACCTTTTAATATTTTACTATGATCATAAGTTACAAATACAGTGTATGAAAAAAAAAATCGGTTTATTGATATAATCAGCACGTCTTTAAAAAACAAACAAACTAATGTCAAAACACATTTTAAAAATCCGATTGGTCATTTAGCCCTGCCAGTTCCTTAACTTCAATAAAAGAATATTTAGTAGAATCAGAAGTATAATAATCTCATATGTTACTCCAAAGAAAAGGCATGTGGAGAGTGGCAGGCATGTTAAATTTCGCGTTGGATTACAATCTACTCTGGTATGACTGTAGTGAGTCAGGATTTTACTCCAGTAGGTAACACTGGGAGAGCTGGGGAGCTGGGTGTGATGGAGGAAACGGTCTGGCCGCTTTCTCCCAGGGTCAGCCAGGCTCTGAACGGTATCGAATCAAGTGGTTGCGCCCCGAGGAAGAAATATTGCCCCAAGTCACCTCCTCTGCGCATGAAAATGCTGAAGTGCACCCCAGCCGCTCGCCCCGCGGCCGGCGGGTCCCGTCCGGGGCACCGGCACCCCGGGCCCGCCGCCTCCCAGTCCTCCTCTGCACCGCCCGGGGACCAGGCTTTAGGCGGTTTTGCCTCAAATTCGGGTGTTTGACGGATATGCAAAGAAAACAGCTGGCGAAGATCTCCCGGAGTGAGACGAGGGATTTTAGAGCAGTTCGGGGGAAAAAAAAAAAAAAATACAAAAAAAAAATACAAAACAAAACCAAAAACAAACCCACAAAACAAAACAGCTTCCAGAAACGGGGCTCAAGTCGAAACGAGCATCCCGGCAAGCGAGCACTTTTCTCAGGAACCCAGAATACATATATATATTTCATTCTCGAGCGGTTTTGAGGCTTTCAGCATCCTGACTTCAGCTGTGCAGGCTGATACCCAGAGCCGTGTTTCAGGTCAAAGCGGGGGGAAAAAAAAAAAAATAAAAATGCTCTGTGAAGAGGTTATAATCCTCCCCTGACCCTTCTTCTCAGGTTTCGTAACAAAGCTGGAGCCCTGCCGCATCTCGCCGACCGATTTCATAACAAGAAACCGTGAGAATGCTCCAAATATAATGTAAAGCATAGGAAATGGTAAAAATTAGACGTCTTTTCCTTCACTGGAGACAGGTCCTCATGTACATACCCCAGCAGTCCCAGGACCAGGCTTTCCCTGCGGGGACACCGAGTGCTCCGAACTGGTCGGTTCAATTACATCTGATTATGCCCTAAAACGTTCGATCAAAGCTTGACCTTCCACCGAGGCTGAGTTTTATAAGGTCATTTCCCCTTAATATTCCGAAAAAGAAATTCAAACCTTTAGTAACAATGATGGTCCCAATATTAATTTTAGCAGTGGGTAGAGAGAGGGGAAACAAAACACCTATTAAAGGAAAAAAATAGCTTGGCATGCATAATACTTCATATAACATCACATTACAGGTTAGTTTGCATAACTAGCCATACAGCTCCCCAGTCTGTCTCCATCTGATTATTTTTATTTTCTTCCTTTTTAATTGCCAGTGAGAACTATTAATCGATTACACAAACCGATCCCCTAAGAGACGGACAAGAGAGGTGGGTTTTCCTCAGACTCCTCAGGAGACCAAAATAAGTGGCAAACCCACTGGTAAAATACAGTATGTTGAATTATATGTCTAGATAGATAGATAGATAGATGATAGATTTAACCGTGTAATTTAGCTGATAGTTTGTCAGGGAAATAAAACGAAAACAAAGAAACCAAATCCTCACAGCTCGGACTTCGGGGTGATTTCATACCAACAATTTGCCTCCAAGTTGTTTCAAATCAAAAGCCTGCATCGAGAAGGACCAGGGGGCATCAGCACATGCCTCGGTATCGATCGCATGAAAACGAGAGTAACAACGGAGGGGGGGAGGAGATGAATCTGTACGAATTAAGTGGCTAAAACAAAGGGCCCTGGAGAAGCCGCTGAAGGCGGGGATCCGCAGGGTCCCCCGCTCTGCACGGAAAGCAGCCGGGGCAGCGGGGAAAAGGAAAGGTTTCCCCGGCAAAAGCTCTGGCCCGGGGTAGCGGAGGACCCGCGGAAGGTCCCTCGGCCGCGACGGGGCCCCCGAGGCTTCGCCGTGCGTGGGGCGGGGGCGGCGGGGCTCCGGCCGTTCCCTACATTCGTCTCACTCTGGGCAGCTCTGCGGGGGAAGGGGGGAGGAAGGGTCTGGGGGGCTGCTGCCCCCCGGAAAACGCCGGTCTGTGTCACCCCGGGGCCGAGGCGGCGGTGGGGGCTTTGCCGCTGCCACGGGGCTGCATTTTCTTTGGATGCGCAGCGGGGGGAGCCCCACCGACCCGCTCCCGGCTCCCGGCTGGGGTCCTCGCAGTCCTTTCGGTTCCCTCCGGCTGCTACGCGTCGCTCCGAGTTAACCCCCAAAGTAAGTTTATTGCACGTTAAAAAAAAAAAAAAAAGAAAAAATCAAAACCGCAGAAAATCAAAAAAACATGTAAGTTGGAAATAAAAAGTCCGGGGAGGAAGGAGGGTGGAGCTGGAAGCCGGGGGAGGGGGCGAAGGGGCCGCGGTCCCTGCACAGGTGGGAGCTCAGACGAGTCCTGTCATCTGCGACCGTAGGAAGGGGAGGGAGGCGGCAGGGAAGGTGCCCAGGGGGTAGCTGACGCCGCTGGAGAAGCCCACCAAGGGGGGCGACATGTGGGGCAGGGTGAAGCCCAAGGCGCTCGCCGGCGAGTTCTCGTGGTACAAAATGGGGACCCGCACTATCCTTTGGGCCGCGTGGGAGAGGTTAGCCGCCTCCAGGTCGGCCGCCAGCTGCCGCTTCCACTTGTTGCGGCGGTTCTGGAACCAGATCTTCACCTGGGTCTCGGTGAGGTGCAGAGAGGCCGCCAGCCCGGCCCGCTCCGAGCTGCTCAGGTAGCGCTTCACGTCGAAGGTGGACTCCAGCTGGAAGACCTGGCTGCGGCTGAACACCGTACGCGTCTTCTTCTTGCGGCCGGCGGCGCGTTGCTCCGGCTCTCCCGGTTCCTCGCCTCGCTCCTGCTCTTGCTCCTGCTCCTCCTCCTCCTCACGGCCGCCCGGCCCCGGCCGCCCGCCCGCCGGGCCCCTCGCCGCCGCCCGCCCGCCGCCGCCCGCCCGCTCCGCCGGTTCCTCGGGCAGCTCCGGCGAGTCCCGGTCGCTGGCTGCGGAGAGAGGCAGAGGGCTGGGAGGTGGGGCGGCTGCCCCGGGGAGCGGGGGGGGGAGAGGGGCATCGTCCGGGGAGCGCCGGCCCCTCGCCCCGCTCAGCGGGAGAGGAAACAGCGCGGCCGCGGAGAGAGCGCGGCCGGGGCGCGCAGGGCGCCCGGCGGGCGGGGAGCCCGGGCAAAGGTCCCCGCCGCGGCTCTGCCGCTTGTGCTGAACTCCCAAATATTTGTGAGTATGTAGAGAGGCGCGCACGCATACTCAGAGAGAAACACAGGAGCTGTAGCTCGCCTGTATACACATATACTCCTCTACGTGCGTGAGCCTCTGTGCACACACACCTGAGTCCACGCACGTACCTAAACCCACACATATATGTGTATATAACATGCATCTACTTTTAGATATATCTTTTTGTACATATAAATACAAGCGTACGTGTTCATGTATACACACACATATGTATGCATAGAAGTATGTATATACTTTTCATATATGTATGTACACATGAATACGTGCGAACTCTTATTTATACATACACATGTATATATTTACACATGTGTGTATACACACATATATTTACACACATATGTACACCTATGTACTTACAAGCACATAAGTATATCGCTGTGTGTAAGAGGGGCAAGTATAGTAGTGCGTGTGTGTATATAAAGGGAGATAGGAAAGAAATCTTTTCACTTCACATTATTCTAAACTTGATAAACCAAATGCATCGGGTCAGCTACTCTAACATGGGGACATTGCCTCCCAGCATGTCTCCGTGGAGTTTCCCACATTGCTCTTTCCGTTTGCCATTTTAAAGACGGAGGGGGGGGGGAATAAGTATTTCCTAATCTTTATGGAAGAGAGGAAAAAAAATAAAAGAAAAAAAAAGCGAGGTAAACAATTTTTTTTTCTGGAGTCGTTTTCTGTTTCTAGATGAACTTTTGAGAGAAATTCAAACTATTAATAAATCCATCAGTGTAAAAAGAAACTATTTGGTTTACAAATCACGCCTCTTTTCCTTACTGAGCAAACGTGAGAACTCTACAGGCTCGCACAGGATCACAGAGATGAGCCGAGGGACAATATTTTTTCTATCAGGATAAAAATAACCGCTGATCGCAGCCCATAAACTTTTTCAGATGTTCATTTCTGCCCCTGAAGCCAGGCTTTTCCCGCAGCACCCGTTGCAGAGGGGTCTCCGCAGGGACAGGCCCGAGGGGCGCTGCGGGGGGCGGCCAGCGGGGCCGGCTCCGCGGGAAGGGGCGGCCGGGCCCCGCCGCTCCCCCGGCTTCCAAACCCCCTGCGGCGCTGGTGGGGACGGTGCGCCCAGCGCCCCGGCTTCCCGGGGCGTCAAAAAAAAAACCCAGCCAAACCTCCCTCTTAGGAAAAAGAGAAGAAAGAAAAAGGGATGGGAGGGAGGAGGGGGGAAAAGGGAAAAGAAAAAAAAAATCCCCGAGCAAGCAAACAACCCCTGTTCACGTTCTGGGCGGTTTCAGGTGCTCCATACATAGTGAAGGTTTCCGGACCTTCGCCCTGGGCGGCCGAAAACGGGGAGGCAAGGCGAGAGCTGCGGGGGCACTCCACGAGTCCCCCTCCGCGCATCCCCCAGGGGCCGCGACGGGACCGGACCCCGCCGCGGGGAGCAGAGACACCCTCCCGCCCTCCCCCCCCCCCCCCCCCAACGCCCCCAGCCCCAGCCGGGCCCGGCGGTTAAGGGGTAGGGAAAGGCGACTTACTGTCGGGGCTGGCGCAGCCCAGGAAAGCGGCGTGCGCTCGGCGGGTACCAGCCGACGGCGGCGTCGCGGAGGGGGCAGCCCTGGGCGCCGAGGCGCAGCGGGGAGCGCGGCCCGCAGCGCGGCCCTCCGCGGTCCCCGCCGCCCGCCGCCTCCCGCCGCGTCCCGCCGCCCGCCGGGCCCTCGGTGCCCAGCAGGTCCTCGATGAAGAAGGACGAGACGCGGGCGGAGGTGGAGCCGGCGTTTTCCGTGGCTTCGTCCGGCATCGTCGGAGAGAACTGCGGGGGAGGGGGGGGGGGGGGGGCGGGGGGGGAAGGGGGTCCCGGCTCCGCCGGCGGCTGGCTCCTCGGCTCCCCGCTGCCCCGCGGCCGCCTCCTGCCTGTGCCTAGCCCCTTGGATGCTCTCCTGGTATAAAAGGGTTTTTTTCCGGAGTAATCATTTCAGATCGCGGTTTGCCATCATTTCCTGCAAGCTAGGAGGGGAGGGGGGAGGGGGAGGAGGAGAAGGGAACGGGGAAGGGAAAAAAAAAAAACGCAACCCGGCAACCCATCGGAGGCGCCAGATCCTGCGCGAAAACGATAATAACGAAATAAAAATGTCATGCGAGTTAAACGCCGGACACGAGAGAGGGGGAATCCTGCGATGGGAGGAGCGCGGCGGCAAATGGGATTTCCGCAGGGGTAGCGCGGGGCGCGGAGCGCGGCGGGGCCGGGCGCTGCCGGTGCTTGGGCGTGTTGCGTGTGCGTGTGTGTCTGCGCGTGGGCGTGCAGTGCGGGGGGTGTGTTTGTGTGTGTGTGTGTGCGTGCGTGTGCGTGTGCGTGCGCCGCCCCGGGGCTGCCACTCACGAGCTCCTTATTTAGGTCAATTAGGGAGCAAATCCCGGCGCGGGGAGGGGGGGGGGGCGGCGGTGCCGGCCCCGGCACACGGGCCGCAGCCCGGTGGGGGAGGGGGGGCTTGGCCCCTCCACGTCCCGGCCCTCCCCATTGGCCGCAATGGGCTCAGCGGGCAGCCCAGCCAGCCAATCCGCGCCGTGGGCATCGCAGTTATATTTATCTCATTAATAATAATCACACCCCACCCCCCCCTCCCGCCCCAACCCCCCGGCTAGCGCTTTCATGTCTGCAGCAACGATGGACGGAGGAGATGCGCCCTCCGCCGCCCGCAGAGCCTGCACCGGCCCCGGGGTCTGCCGCCGGCGGAGCGGTGAGGCTGCCCGCTGCCCGAAACCCCCGCCCTGGGGCACTTGAACCGGGGGGGGGGGGGGAGCTGCGGAGGGACATCGGCCCCCGTGGGCAGGGCAGTGTCCGCGGCCGCGGGCTGTCCCGCCGGTGGAGGGGAGGGGTGGCCGGCACGGGAGGATGAGGGACCCTCTTCTACAGGGTCTCCAGAGGCCCGGTTGGTGTCATTTAGCCTTCTCCTATATATATACATATATATGCCTATTTATTTATATATGCATCTTACATCTGCATAGTTTGTTTAGCTGATGGGAGACGGGGCCGCCCACGTCGCCCCGTTCCCCGCCGCCCCGGGGCGGTGCGCTGCCCGCTCCAGCACTCAGGCTCCTGGCGTCACCCCTCCGCAGCTCAACTCTATTATTATTATTATTATTGTTATTATTATTATTGTTATTATTACTATTGTTATTATTATTATTCCTACTGTAAATCCACTTCATGGAAAGCCGTAGAGCCACCCTCTGCCTGCCCCCTTTTCCTGCGCCTGCTGGATCCTCCTGCCTCGGTTATAGGGACCCCCAGCAGCAACCCCCCCAAAACTCCCTCTCGCTGCAGGGCGGCAGGACAGGAGGGTTATCCTCTGCCTTTTTCCCTGGGATCAGGCAAGCCAGGTCTGTGGAGGGACGAGTCGATCCAGAGTGCCTGTGGGAGCCCCGTGGAGGTTTGGGTGAGTACACAGATGCCCTTGCCGTGTTCACCTGCGGGTCAGCTTCTCTCCTCCTGCTCCGCTCTGCCTCCTCTGCCGGGATATCCCTATTTGTTCGCCTTTGCGGCGCTCCCGGACCAGCACCCCTTTCCCAAGCCCCGCCTCCCCCCCCCCCCCTTACTGCCGCCGGTCGCTGCCCGCGGGGGTGTCCGGCGGGGCGGGCGCGCAGCCCGGAGCAGAGCCGGCCTCCTCGGCACCGAGCGGCCCTGATCCCTTTCCGAGGTGGCTGTAGGGACCTCTGAGGTCAAGAAAATAGTAATAGTAATAGTAATAGTAATAGTAATAGTAATAGTAATCGTAATAATAAATAATAATAAATAATAATAATAATAATAATAATAATAATAATAATAATAATAATAATAATAATAAAGATTAAAAAATAAAAGGACTAATTCCAATTACAAAGACTCCAGAAAGATGTAGCTGGAATATACAGGGGCACCTTCGGCTTTTGGTGTGACCTGGGCAGAGACCAAGGAGCAATCTGGTGAATTGTAAACCGGGCAAAAGGGCATTTGTCACTTGTTGCACAGGAGTGATGGTAACGATCACTGCTTTTTTGCTCTGTGCACCTCGGTGCGTGTTGCTGGATAGGAAATATGAGTTTGACCGATATGCCCTAAGAATCCATAAACTGTCAACTCTGTCAGACTCAGAAAATACATGCGTGCTTTCCGGAATGAAGAGAAAAATGTGGACCCTGGTTACTTCTATACATTTGATATACAGTGTATAAACTATATGCATATATATCCTACCTGTATTTTAGAAAGTGTTCCTACAGTGTGGTCATGCAACACGTAATATCATTTGCTTTTCACTTAGAAACAGTGTAATAAAATCAATAAATTTGCTTTTGCATTTTATTTTTCCCCTCCGTATTTCTTTAACGCAACGTGTAACTCTTTGGTGTGCAGTAATGCTGAACTGTGTGTGTTTGTGAAAAGTCATGTATACTCAGACATCTTCCTGAAACACAAAATCAGGATGAGTGTAATTCTAATCCTGCAAATACAGCACTTGTACGTACATGTCCGTGTGTATGGGGTATTTTTTTAAGCTTGTAGTTATGTTTACGTATCTTTTACATTGCTATAGTGACAGGACTACTAACACTTTGTGCTTAATGCTCTTTGTGCTTATTAAGATGGTGAGGAGAAAAGGGTGAGTGTTTATTGGGTGTCTCCCTGCAGCAGGGCTCTGTGTCCGTCTGTTTTTCCGTGCAGAAAAAGCAGACAGTGACGATATTTTCGTAATTTAATGTCAGAAAGACATCCTGGGCCCCCGTCCTAACACCTTTCGCTGTCACTTGCCTGGGGATAACGCGGGGAGGAGGGGGTCTCCTTCTGCCGGGGGCACTGCCATCACCCCGGCGAACCCCCCCGTCGGGCAAGAGCCGTGCCGGCGGCTCCCGGCGGGGCTCAGGGTGGCCGCGGAGAGGCAGGACCTCTCCTTCCCCCACTGCCTTCTCTCTTATGGTCATCTCTTTGCGCCACGGTAAACCTTTATTTTTATTATTTATTTATTATATATATTTTTTTAGGCAACTGTGTGGAAAGGCTTTCCCTGGGCAGCAAGCTCCTGCCTGCCTGCCTCGGGGTGGGAAGGGATTTCCCCGTGTTTGTGGCCGAGGCGGCTATGAGACTGGCTTTAGACTACAGGTGTGGGCCCCTTATTTTTTCCATCTCTGGCTCGTTTTTTTTCCCAGGTACATGTTTTTCTCCGAGGCTTCGGAGACCTCCAGATCCGGGGCACCGCCGGGAGGTGGGACCTCTTCTACTGAGGGGTCCCGGCTCCCGGTCCGTGCCGAACACTGGCGTGGGATGCTCGTGGGATATTACCCCCCACCTCCGACGGCGCCTGAGCCTTTGACAGGGTTTGCTCGACGTGGGTGCAAAGCACTTCAGGCTGCCACGCAGGGGTCAGGGAGAAGTGGAGATTTGGGGCTGGGCTCCGGAGAGAATCAGCAAACGGAGGGCCACATTTGGGGCTGAAAACGTGTTTGAGCCTGTGACAAGAGCTTCCAGTGAGCCACGGGGATGCGGGGCCGCACGGACTGGAGCGGGCGGGCCCGCAATGTGAATGCAATTACCCCGCCGGTGTTTGATGTCTCCCCTTGCGCTTCCCTCCCCCGCCGCCCGCCCCCAGCACTGCCTCGACGTGTCGTAAAATAGGAATTAAATGAAAGACAGGCTTTAGCGCTCGCTACCTAACCTCTGCTCCTCTCTGCTGCTCGGGGCCCGCGGCAGGTTTAGAGCCCGGCCCTTTGCAGGAGGCGTTTAACCCCCAGCGCTTCCTGGCAGGGGGAACCTTCTCTTCCTTCGCCTTGCCAAAAAAGTGGAGCTGAACAGACCGCTCACTTCCCATCACCCTCCTAACAGATCAGACGGCAGCGCTGAGGGTAAGGAAATTCTTGGCCAACATCGGCATCTAGTTGATATATTGAGATATATATAAGTATGTATGTATATATTTATAAATAAAAGTAGTTTTTCAGCCCGGTTTGGTTTAGCTATAAAAATAAACCAAATAAAGACCGTGTTCGCATCTTCAGTAAACAGTCGGGAGCCACCAAAAAGCAAAAGTGGATACTCGGAAGCAGTGTTTGTGTTTCGGGTCCAACGCTCCTTTAGAGGGAGCAGCAGAGATGGGATGGTTTGAATCCCTACTTTAAGCAAAAACATAAAATAAAAGTTCAACCAGGAGATGCTTGCACCGCCTCTAAACCTCTGTGTAACATCTTCCTCCTCTTCCTCCCAAGGAATGCCGGGGGAATGGTCCACTCAGCTCCTGGGGGAGCCGCCCAAACTTCTCTGGCCAGGGCTACCTCCCATCCCTGCATGGAGTTCGCCAGGTCTCTGCTCCGGCTCCGCTGCACTCAAAAAGTCGTGGATGGGGAGCAGGCCCCGGGGGAGGGGGGTCACAGTCCTGCTGGGACAAGCAGAGGGGACGTTTCAGAGGGTGTCCCGGCCAGTCCCACCACCCCCAGCTCCCTGCCTGGGTGAGGTTCCTGTGCCCATCTCATGGGGATACCTCTTTTTGGGTGGCCTTCCAGGCAGGGAACCCACAAAGGTCAAGGACAGCACAGCAATGGAAATCCCTTTTTTTCCTGCAGGTAGACAACCCTAAAAGCCTTCAAATGGGAGTTAAATACCACTTAAGTGCAGCAACACTTTGTGGAATTCCTTTCTGAATTTGCAGTAAATTTTAAGGGGTCCCCAAAGACGATGAAACAGAAGAAAAATTATAATTCCTGGGGAGATTTTTTTCAGTGAACTATCTTTCTAAATCCAACCATACTGAACTGCTCACCATCAGTGATACTGGTAGATAATTATTCCCTTTTCAGGGACACTGCACAACCCATGCTGATTCCCACGAATATATTCATTATTCACAGATAGTTGCTAAGTGCTTTAGATGGAAACTTCCAGCCTGTAGCATCTCCTGACTGCCCATGATGCCTATTTATTGCTTGTTATAGATGTCATACAACTGAGAGCATGAATCCCACCACTTAAGTGCTGTTTCCTTGCTAAGTGAGAGGTATTTTAACCCATGATAAATTATCAAACTAGGGAATATCTCTGGGTACGTGAATATATTAATGAAGAAAACACTTTGAGAATGATTTTGGGGAGCTTCTATTCCCATGTGTTAAAATTCCAGACCCCTTTCAGAAATATTTATTAATTGTCTGACTGGAGATGGGGAGAGAGAGAGAAAATGGATCATCAGCAAATTATATGATACCTTTATAAAAAGGTAGTCCCTACTGAAATGAGCTAACATTTATAATACAGTCCCGTTTTAAAGTGACTTTTCCAGAAGGTCTTTGGCATTGATTTCCTTATAC